TACTGTATTACAGCAAACTTGAAAGTAACAAAAGCCATGAAGTTTTTATACTTAAAATGTTGTATGCCTTGTACGGCGCCATAAGAATTACCCTCCTAAAACATCAGCATCATTACGTTATTGATTTAAATCAAAGTAGAATTTGTAGGGGGAAAAGATGAGATGGTTGGTCTGGATGATCTTGTAGGTCTTTTCAGCCTTGGTGTTTCTGTGAAAACCTGACATTTGTTGCCATCAACACAGAAGCCCTGCCCCTCCCTCACACAGCGCTATCGCAAGGCACCTTATTTCTACCTCATCACATCTCACTATTCACTCAAGGACCTTAGTGAACACTGAGGCCTCTAATCCACAAAAGCCCATTTGGTAGCAAATATATTGTCTTGCATAAACTGACAATTTCACTGCTTCTTCTAGAACTTGCTCCAAAGCTCCTGTAAATGAAACCTTGGTTAAGTAAGTGCGTGATCCAAGCAAAGCAAACAACTGATTCTCAGAGGGAAAGGTATCGTGTATTCCTACAATGTTCTCAAGCCTCTTTGGAGATGTTACTTAGAAACATCTAAGTACTGTTTCAACAGCAAAATTAGATTTATGAAGGCATTATTCGTTCAGGACAGTATACACAGCCTATGAGAATATAAAGTATTTATTACAGAGGCAGACACTGACAGTTCATATGGAACAACCAGCTGCAATCACCAAGAAGAAGACTAGCCAAAGAAGAGGTTTGCTAATGGCACAAAGATGTTAGTCAGTATTTGTTTACAAGCTAGAAGCAGGCTTTGGTGATATACAGTCACAAACTAATCGCACTTGCATTAAGTGATTCACCATTTGATCAAGTGTATAATTTTAGTAAACAAAACTGAGGGAAGAGTCAGATTGGCATGGCAGGGACCTGGTGATACATAAGTAACTGGAAAATCCAGACTCAGACATAAATTTAGGATTAGGCCAGTAGTCTGTGCTTGAGGCACCATGTCTCACCACGTTTGTGATGTATGCAGTGTCAGAGAAAGGCAGAACAAATGGCATCACCCTGCAAAACCCTGCTGGCATGTTCTCAAACAATACTGCCATCAGTTTTAGCTGACTACAGTACCTTAGAGTTGCCAGAAATAAGATGAGATGAAACTAATCATACTGTGTTTTCAATCAACTTCCTGCTGGCTGCCACCATTTCAAGACTGGAATTCATTTGTTTTTATGTCCATTAACATATTTCCTTGTTGTTTTTTTTTTTTTTTAGTTCTAAGTCACTGAATGCAATGGTTGCTATCAGTCTGGACTATCAAAAAAAAACCAAAAAAAAACAAAACAAAAAAAAAAAACCAAATCCAAAAAGCATTCACTAGCACTGCAGAAGTTACCCTTCTCTGACTTACCCCTCCACAGTCTACCAGCCAAGAAGTATTTTACCTTACCACTCTCACCTATGCATATAACTGTGTAATAGTAAAACCTCAGCCCTCTCATGAGCTGTACACAAATGAAACCTTCGTGGAGTGCTCCAAAAGCCAGTGGGGAACTGCCAAAATGAAATTCATTAAAGGATTATGCCTCATCTCTAATAAGCAAAGTGGCTTAACTGGAATACGCGCATACTGCAATATTTTCATGTTTTTATTAACTTAGAGCTGAAGATTTTATATATGCTATAAAGTAACATGGGTTTCTGAAATCCACTCATCTAAGAAAAAAAATTACATGGTCTGTTAATCAGGAAAGAAGAAAGATTTTTTCTAGATCATAAGAATGACGAGCACAGCATAAACTCTAAATGAAGTAACCTAAAATAACAGCTTGCATACTGCGCCCTTTCCAACCTTTGTACACTAAGACTATTCCAATAAAAACTGAGATAGTTGCAAGACTGAAGTTTAAAACACAAAAATAAAAACAGAGGGGATGGGGTGAGGAATAAAACATTTCCACATGGGTAAGTTCCGTGAATTTCTCATAAATAAATCAATGTCTGTGAAAGAAGTTTTTGTAAAATGTAGAGATTCAGTGCTCCATTTGAACTTGACTAGAGCAGAAACGGCAGGCTGGACATTCTGAAGAGAAAGGGAAGTCTGCAGAAGTTTAAAGATGGCTTCTATGATCTCCCACAAAAGGTAAGAAAACGTCAGTTGTTGACCTTAAGGAGATGTTTCTGAAGTTCTGAACAGTTTCACTCAAGTCCCTTCTTTCAGTTGTTCATTTTTCAGTCTCTCAGATCTTGAAACATCAAGAGTTTAGTAGTTTTCCAGTCACTAGAGATTCCTGCAACTGACAGGGTCTGAATTTCTAATACAAACCTCAGCGTTTTAAGAGAAGAATCCCTCCAACTTTAATGCAATAGTACATACAGTCCTCTCTTGTAAACTCTTTGAACTCCAGCACTATACCAGCGTGCATTTCAGGAGCTACGTTGTGACTACGCACCAGTAGGTAAATTTCAGCCCACAGATTCACAGCTCACTTCAATTTTAATGTTTCCCTGAGTATCTACCAGAATGTTGTCTATTATTGTGGATTACTGCACAAAGTATTCATCTCACTGCAAATGGTGCCTTTAAAAAAAAAAAAAAAATCAAGCCAAAACAAACAAAAAACAATAACAAACCCCAAGATTATTTTTTATAGCTGGTCAAGACCTACTAGGTATAATCTAGGCCATTCTGTTTGACCCAGTGACAGAGAATTCTTTTGAGGCCTACATGGTTCAGGGAACCCAAGAGCAGGCATTCAAGAACTCCCAATCACTGCACACGATACATAAAGAAAAACTATTCCTCTACATACATTTATTTAGAAATTTCATACAAATTACTATGTTACATTACTGGTTTCCGAACTTGAATGTTATAAGCCTGAAGATAAAGGGCAAATACAGCCTCTACGCTGTGAAAGCAAAAGAGAAGTCACTAAGAAAACTATACCCTCTGTAAGACACACTGCTGGCATAACCCTAACTGACATCTAGGGCAGAATTCCAGCTTCACATGCACACCAATCTTTTTCCTAGCACTTTTTGCTTTCTTCAAAAAGCTGCTATAAAACTGTGACTCCGTGAGAACTCATGCCAGGGCAGCTTCACTACAAGGACATGTCCATGCACATTTACCTGCATATCTCTTCAAGCACTGGCAGGACCCAAGTAAGTCATGACAAGACAATACTTCAGTTTCTTCAGGACAGAGAAGAGTAACAAGCCTTCAGCTGACAGTGCACTTTTTTTTTATTTTGATGGTTGTTTGTACAAGGAAATGTATGTCCTAGGAAAGAAGTGGAGTCTTTAAAGGCAGATGGTTTTCTGGAGAGTCTCCCATCACCACGAAGCACCTCCTCAAACACAAGGCACCAGCTTTCCTTTTCATTAGCACAACATGCTGAACCAGCTGAAAAGTTCAGCCCAGAGAAAAAGTTCTCTTTCAGTGCTTTGTGACTTTCATGTCAGCGTCACATTACACAGCCAGTGCACCGCCTTACAGATAACAGCAACTTGTTTGCCACTGTGTTGTGGGAAGCAACAGGACCAAATATGGAGCCTAACAAAACAAAAATCAGCAAAATAGAACCAGTATACAGTAAGTTGTATTTTGCTTAATCACTCCCAACGGTGCCACTGCACATATTGCAGTTCAGGTTTCCACCATAACTCAAAAATGGGTTTTCATTTAAAACCCTGCCACTCAATAAAACACCTCAATGTTCAGGCACATCAATCTCTGTTATTGCATCTCCTTCCGCTCAGACTCCACTCCCCCAGGGCACCGTACGCTGTGTGACACCAATATCTCAAGAAGGTACTGTCTCAGACAACATAGAGCTCAGGTGGACCCTCAGACTGACTCACACATTCTTGGAACATCTCATAAACACGAAGGTTAGGAACTGATTTTTTTTTTTTTTGCTATATACATTGCAGGCATTCTGTGATCACGTGTGCCTGCCAGCACACCATCTGCCATGATACATCTGATTCTTGAGAAAAGGAAATCCAGACAGCAGACACAACCCTGGGGATGACAGAAGTTCAGCAGGGGACGGGCCGATTTCTCCCCCCCACACCTCCCCCAAACACACACACCTTTTAGCAAACGGGGATGACCCCACCCCCTAGTCTCCAGAAGAGGCTCAGCAAAAGCGAGGACCTCACCCAGCGCGGCCCCCCCCCAACCCCACAAGGTGACAAAAGCACCATTTTCTCTCCGCGCGCTCCCCGACCCGCACGGAGCCGCCCTCCCGCCCGAGGCACAGCGGGAGGCCCCGCCACCCCCACCCCACTCCGGGACGCGCCCCCTTGGCCGCTGCCCCGCGGAGCCGAAGGCCCGGAGCGCGGCGTTCGGCCCCGGCAACCGCCTCCGGAGAGCCCCGCGCTCGAGGTGGCGGCAGGGCCCGCCCAGCTGAGCCCGAGGGAGGCCCAGGCCGTGCGGCCCCCCGCACCCCCGCTCCCCGGGGGAGAACAACGCAACCCCAGCACCGCCGCCACCTCCCCCCCCGCCCGGCTGCGGGGACGAGGCCACCCTTCTCCACCAAGGGCAGCCCCGGGCTCGGGCCCTGCCCCCGGCCCCCGCCGCCTCGTCACCCGCTGTCCGGCCCCCTCCCCCTCGAGGGCCCCGCTTACCCCCAGAAGCCGCAGGGGCAGCGCGGCGGCAGGCTGGGCGCCTTGCTGCGCTCGCTGCCGGCGTCTCCCATGGCGGGGCCGGGGCCGGGGCGCGGGGCGGCGGCGGCTGCGGGCGGGCAGGAGGGGGGGGGGGGGGGGCGCGGGGCTTCGAGCCGGGATTCCAGGCCGGTCAGCTGGAGCCGGGCGCGACCACCGGGGCGGCAGCGCAGGGGAGGCCGCGGCAGGGGGGACGGCCGCGCCCTACCGTCCGGGCCCGCTCCGAGGCGGCGCTGTCTGCGGCGGCCCCTCCCGCCCGCCGCCTCCTGTGGCGACCCAGCTGAGGCTGCGAAGCGCGCCCGCCCTCCCGCGCCGCTCGGCCCGTGACTCAACAATGCGCCCCCCCGCTGCGCCGGCACCTTGCCTCCCCCCGTCCTGAGCGGAATGGTTTCACCGAGCCGCCGGATCAGCTGGGAGCGGCTTGTACCAAAGCTCAGCCGCGGGGAGGTGGGGGGGCACAGGATTGAGAAGGGGCTGGAACTCGGACAGAAACAAGTTTGGAAGGCGCCTACAGACTCGAGAAGGTAACGAGTAACTCTGCGGGGAGGCGGCAGATGTCCGGCCTCCGGCAGAGCTACCTGCGCCCGCCGCCCTCGTTCGCCCCTACCCGCGCGTTACACACACGTTGGTACGGCCGCGGGACAGCCGGCGGAGGGTGGTTGTCGGTTGTGGCGGCGCACGCGCGGTAGGCTGCGGACGCGGAAGTGGGTCGGCGGCGGAGGGGTTCCCCTGGGATCTCCCTGCGCCGCCCCGCCAGGCCCTGCTGGGACGGGTTGGCACGGGGGGCTCTGTGGGTCTTGCCGGCTGGGACTTGTTTTATAGGCGTTGGTCTTCAGCTTTCTTCAGTATGAAATAAAATCGGTTGTTTTTCTGAAATGCGCTGGGTTTTCTTTTCTTCTTTGGGCCGTTATGTCTGTGCTGAGCACCGCTCGCTGCTGACAAAGCGGTGCTGAGGGCTGACTGAGGCCCACGCCTCACATTTTGGGCCCTGTAGAAGGGGAGATGTGAGGATTCAGATCTGGCGAGCAGAGAGGCCTGCAGCAGGGCCCTCACGCAGGCCTAAAGGCCGCTGCTTTTTAGACAGGAAAGGAGAAGGGAATTTCCAGCATCTTGCCTTGAGAGCTGAGCAGTGGGGATTGTGCTTCTGCTGTGGGTTTAGTAAATGGCTCTCAGCCAGTTTAACAAGCATGTTTACTGTACCTTGGCTTCATTTGTGAAGTGAGAGTATTGAGCCCCCGCTAGAAACTGCCTTCTGAGATCTGAGTGAAAAATGGTATGTGGAAAAATGCTGGTGTGGCAATGAGGGTAGGCGGAGTTGGAGCAGGTTCTTGAGGTGCTGTTATACGTGGAGTGGGTTTTGATGTTCACCTTTAAAAATGAACATTGAAAGCCTATGCTGATGTGGTAATTCACTTCAAAGTTAAACAACGTTATCCCCAGACTATTTTTTTTTTTTTATTTATTACAAGAAGTCTAATGCATATTTAACATTGCATTGGAGGCATCTGAATAACTTCGGCTCTGTTCAGTACTGATGACCTATGGAGGAATAATCTGAAGAAGAGAAAATCTTTACAATTCAACTGTACTTGAATCCTATGGGCAGAAGGAGCATGGATGAGAGGATGGTAATCCTTAATGAGGAGCTAGTGATCCTGCAGTTTTTCTCTGGGCGTCTTTTGCAGAAAAATCAGAAGGAATCCAGAGGAGAGCAACATACAGTCTGCAGAGAATGAAAACATAAGTGTAATGCTTATAGTTCAGCAAGTGAACGGTTGCATTTGGGAAGAGGCATAACCATTTATTCATATTTAAAATTGTAAGCAAAAGTGGGAGGTTTTCCAGCAAGATATTGAGTTTAGTTAAAGACGTAACAGAGATGTTTCTAAGGAAAGTGACACACAAGTCAAATAAGGAGAATGTTCTCACAGTGAAGTCTGATTTTTTACCTCTCACTGAGGTGCTTCATGCTCATTCTCAGCAGGGCCACACTGAAGGATTAGATGAGGTAAATAACTTCACAAGATTGAGAGGCAAAATCCTACCAGATTTAGAAGTGACAGTTAAGCACCATTGTTTTTCAAGTGTTCCCTTTCTTCATATACACTAGAAAGAGTTGTACCTGTGTATAATCAGAACGTTTTGGGTTGCTTATTTTGTTATAAACATGATTGGCTGATTGAGATACACGTGCACAACCATGGAGTGCAGCAGGTGGAGAATGTCACAAGTGTTGTACATCTTCCTTCTCATCTTGAAATGATAAAATGATCAAAGTGACTCATGTGGTGCCAATCTGTCAAAGAGACTCTTCAGTTGATTGAAATAATCACCACTTTTTATTTCTCTCCAGTAGGTTGATCTTCTTCGTAGTTAAATTTTTTCATTTGTAAGATCATTCTTGTTAAACTCTCTACTGAGATTCAGAAATAAAATGGGTGTGTGGAAGAGGGCAATGGAAAGGACATCTGAGCTGCAGTCATACCTAGTTATAAAGGTGAAAAGTTATGATGATTCCCTATAGCCTAGGAACATAGGCTGTAGTCCGTGAAAAAACTAACCTGCAGCAAGTCAGCATCTGGGATCCCAGAAAAAGGCAACTGAACCCTGCTCAAGAGTGGCACACATTCTTCTTGCTGAGTGAGAACCAGGGCTGTCAGCCTTTCAAATGCCTGCTCTTCAGTGCTTAGTTCACCTCATTTTCTACATTTGAAAACCTTATCCTTGTGTGCAGCTGGCATAGCGAAGTGTGATCCAGCTGAATGCCTCAAGATTTGCATATTCATTTAGTTTGAATTAGGTGTCAGTGCAAGCAATCTGTAGGCAGAAATGCCCACGCCCTATCCTAAGGCGTGGGCTTCAAGGAATCTGACTCTGGGTTTCTTTGCTGCTCCAAAGGCCTCCAAATTAAGGAAGGCAAGCTGAGTTCATCTTGGCTCTTGATACTGGTTGTGTTGACAAAGCAGAAGGAATGGAATCATCTGTGAATTATCAACTTATGAGTAATGTAGATTAGAATCTTTTCATTGGCACATCTTTTTAAAACATAGGACAAAGATTTAAACACTACAGAAGAAGTGTAAATAGTTGTAGAACAGAGTTTGGAGTCAAGACTTTGACATTCTTTTCAGATGTTATAAATCTCTCCACGACTCAGTTTTGCTTTCTGGAATGGAAACACTTGTACATCTCATGGACAGCCTGGAAATAGAATCTTTTTTGGGTGGCATTTTTAGAAATGAGAAATTGCTGTTGTTATTATTACTGTAACTAAAAGAGTGGCATTTCTTTGCAAGTAATGGCTGGATGGAAGGTCCAAGGTGAAAGCGATAACTTAACACAGCCAGTTGCACTTTGCAAGGATATGACTAACCCAGAGGCAATTATTATTAATAATACTTTTATTTATTTCACATTGTGTGTTACTTCCACTTCCTGCCCTTTATGTAATCTAGGGTACTGTGAGAAAAGCACAAATCCAAAAACTACAGTGCTGTTAAACAAAACTTTCTAGGCTAATCTAAAAAATGCCAGACAAAATATTAAAAACTAAACAACAAAAACATTTGGCATCACTTAATAAATGGAGAGGGGATGCCTAGGACAAAAATGGAATAGTAACCCCACACAGATGTGACAGTGACTAAGACTGAAACCATTCACAGAAAAATAAATCTGCAGATGTTCTGTATAAGCTATTTTTTTATTATTATAAACTGTGAGACTCATGAATGTGTAACGATGATCACATAGTGCTAGGCATTTCCTGGTGATGGACGGCAGACTCAGCAAAGGCCATTCTTAGCCTTTGAGAGCTCCTTTTAGCAAATGATCTCCAAGCATTTTTTTTTAAAAAGGTAAGCATAGTCACAGCAATTGTACCGGGAGAAAAGCAGCCTTGGAAAGTGAAACAAACTGCCTGGGGTCACGCAAGAAGTCACCTGCAGATCTAGTAATAGCAATCACATCACTGAGCTCCCAGTGTAGCAGCTCATGTGGGGTCTAAGTCTTCTTTCAGAGCTTGTGTCATGGATGCTGCCTTTGCAGCCCCCACGACCTCCTTCCTCTGCTCTGGGTACAGGATCACTTAGAAGTGGCATCCCAAATCACCTCCTTGATTTATAAATTAAAGGGTTAAAAATACTATACACATCCTTCCATTTTAAAATGGAGCTGAAGGTAAAAGAATATAATTAAATGGAAAGGTGAAAGATTCATGATATTTATATATTTCGTTTCCTTTACCTGGCTTCTCTCCAGCATTCTCATAATACCAGACCAAAGGACCCTTATCAGCACCATGGTCTTTGAGGTCTAATGCTAGCAGAGACAAACAAGCATAATAAAGCATATAGATCAACCCAGTCTTCATTAAATGGAAGGTGCCTGCCCCTGGCAATCTATTTGGAGATGAGCTCTCTCTGCTCTTTCCTCAGCTACTCTGAAGATGTCGGATGGGGGAATCTGCGTCTAAACGCATTTGCAGGCACCTCAGTGGGTTTATCAGTTCTCTGACTCCTGACCCGCTGCTTTCTGAGCACAGCTGAGGCGAGCAGTAATTCCCTCATAAACACCGCAGTGTCAGGGAGGCTTAATTGCTTAGCGGCATGAGAAAGTGCTGGCTGGTTCAATGACAAAAGGTTTGAGGAAAATGAGGACCGGGAGTCTACTGCTCTCCCTTTCTGCCCCTGCTCACTCCCCTCCACATGTTCAACATGTAGCTTTTTCGGAGCCGTGGCACCAATATTAGCTGAGAAAATCCTGATCTTGTCATTTCTGGTGTCCATGTGAGCACAGCAAGATCGGTAGTTAGAAGTCATAAGTGCAGCCTGGGTAATTTTGTAAACAACAGCAGCACCAATTTCTTTTATAGCAAGTTTTAAAAAAACAGACATTGCCTCTGGAAATGAATAGCATATAGAGCAGCTGTTTCAAATTTGTTTGACTCTGTTATAAAACAACTTTAAAGTGTTAACAGTTGTACCCATGACAGAGCTTCCTCTGCTGTGTGCATGCTTAAAGTTTTCCCTTATGTCATATGACCAAGCAGCCACATTTGTGTTCTGCCCCCTTGTCCTTTGGGTCACCTCCAAGGAACATCCAAGCAGATGCTAGCTGCAAACAGCTGGGCAGGCTATGGGCACTCCTGAAGGCTGCCATGGGCAGGGGCTGAAGAGGGAGGATGAGGACAGGCTGAGAGCTGGGGCTGTTCTGCCTGGAGACGAGAAGGCTCTGGGGGGACCTGAGAGTAGCCTTTCAGTATCTAGAGGGGGGCTATAAGAAGGAAGCGGACACACTCTTTAGCAGGGTCTGTTGTGGTATAACAGAGGAAATGGTTTCAAACTGAAAAAAGGAAGATTTAGGCTGGATGTAAGGAAGAAGTCTTTTACAGCAGGCAAGGGCAATTGTAAAAGGGCAATGAGTCACTAGCAAGGGTTGTTCAGAGAAGTGGTGGAAACCCCATCCCCAGAGACATTCAGGGTCCAGCTGGACACGTCTCTGAGCACTCTGACATTTCTGTAGC